CTTGCTTAAAACAAAACAAAACAACTCCTAGAAACTATAATTAGGGCCTCAGTCTAATCATGAGGGATTTGCCCCATGTCCCAAACACCTCTCACAAGGTCCCTTCTACCAACACTACCAAACACTGCTGCAGTGGCTATCCAGTTACAACCAGAGTTTCACTGGGGAAACAGCAAGCACAGCACTGTGTGTGCTGCCCGTGTGCATGTGCAAGTGTGCATGTGTGTATTTCAGATCCTGGGCACTTAGTTTGAGAGTATTTGCTCATGTATGTTTTTGTTCTGTTGCATGGACTGTTTACTTCTTTTTCCTACAGATAAGGAAGCTTTCTGCAAAGAGAAAATTTTTATTTTTGAATCTTGCAAGAACTTGACACAGGTTGCCACTGCAGTTCCTTCCAGTATGTATTATTCATAGACTGATGACCTCTGATAGTCTCAGAGGTACGCTGCAGGACTCTGATGGGAAAATACCACCTTCTTTTTTCCCTCATAATGGATCTTTCCTTCATCCAGCATGGAGTGATAGAAAACAGATATATCTGTTCCAAAGAAGGGGGCTAATTTCTGTCAGGAGAAAATAAATGTTTTTATTTTGCTACAATGAAATGTTTATTTCTATCACTAATAAAAACTATTTTTTTCTTATTTTGTGCCTACTATATGAAAATGCCAGAAAATTTCAAATAAATTATTGCTAGAATTTTCAGTTATTAATGTATGAGGCAGACATTATGAAAAATGTTCAAAATTTTACCTCCTCTTCCATGTTCTCCTTTCTGGGATTTTCATTCTTCAAAACATTTGTAGGATTTATTCTAAAAAGTGAAAGGGAATGTGAAAATGTAAACCAATTGTTTCCTAATAGATTTTATTTACGTTTAGTTTGATGAGCTTTCATTAATACGAAATCTAGAATATATTTGTAGAATTTGTCATTTTTGATGTTGCTGTTTCAACAGAGATAATTCAAAATTGCACCCACTTTAATTAGCATAGTTTGTTAGTTTCTGTTCAAATGAATAGTTTTAATACAACCATGCAGTATTCACTGCTCCTTAATTTAAAAATATTAAGTTAAAAGTGTAGCTTTTTGTCTTTGTTCTGCATGCTGCAAAACATCTGGATAATTTTGAGTATTTCAGTGAGTTTTTTCAAATTTTCTCTTTTCAAATGACAATTTGCCAGATGGAGGCACAGTTTTACATGCTACTTTTCTGGACATGATAACTTTCCTCCATTGTTTTACATACTATTTTGATTAGTCCAATTTTGAATTTTAGCTAAAATATAGTAGATAATACATTACTTTAGAAACCTAATTCATGACTTTTTTTCCAAATTTATTTCTCCCATGAGTGGAAGAAACAAAGAAGGAAAGAGGGACAGCTGCCTACCACCCCAAAAAGGTCTTGATGCTGCAATCCATGTACAGCTTCATTCAGTCTTCAAATCATGGGCACCTTTGTGTCCAGCCGTGCTGAGGAAGGCCTCTTAGACATGAACCTGAAACTTTCCTTGTGGATTAGCCTCATGGAGCACGAACTTTTACCACTATGCCATTGTGCAGTCCCAATAATTACTTTTTTTGAGAGAGAGATTTTTGCTATATGTCATGTGCACTTGCTGAAGAGACAGAGAGACAAAAAGCGAGGAGACTGGTCATGCCAAAGTCCCTTCTCCTCCATTCTCCTCTTGGGATTTTGGGCACCCACACATATGTGCCTGGTATGAGTCTAAGCCACTGGGTCCAGGACTCGAACCTCATTTGACCACATGGGAGTCCAGCACCTTAACCACTATGCCACCTGCTGGTCCCCAGTCACAATAATTCTTAATTTCAATGTGTAAATTAGGCAATAATCAGATGTAGGGATGAAGGTAAAATACACTGATGAACTAGGAAGGAAAAAAATAGCAAGATACTTAGACAACAATTATTATAAGATTAGTTGTAACATTTTTTTTCTTCTTCTACTAGGTCTTCCTCCTTTTTTTTTTTTTTTTTTTTACAAGTTTGTTTATTATTGCAAAAGAGAGAAGGAAAGAGAGAGGCACTTTGACAGTGTCTCCCTGTATAAGAGCCACCCTCCAGGCTTCCAGCCAGGCAGGATCACATGAGTGCACCCAGTGTCCAAGTTGGCCTGTGGTTCTGAATGCGAGACCTTACCACCTTTGCCACCAGGCTGGGCTGCCTTTTCTCTTTCTCTTCCTTCTCCTCCTCTTATTCTTTTCCCTACTCCTCTGTCTGCCCCATCTCTCTGTTTTCTTTTGCTTTCAAACATTATTTTTAAAGTAATATTACTTTTGTCTCAGCATAAATATGAATAATTTTCTATAAAAAAGCTAATACTAAAATATGATTCAATATGATTCAATTTCATTTCTCTTTCATTAACATGACTATAGGTGAGCCTATATTCTATCAAATCTTGAATCTAACTGTACTTAGAAATGTAAGTTATAGACTTGATATTTTCACTGAAATGAAGTTTAGATGTTAGAAATTTTTTATTGGAATTGTTTTTATTATAAAATGACTATGAATTAAAAATACTTAGAAAAAATGCATGTATTATTGAATATTACATGTGTTCATGCTTGCATTTTAGCATTTTTGTATCTCCCATTCATGGCAATCCAAACAGGTGGATTAAAATGATAATTTGGGGGCCAGCAGGGGGCATGGTGGTTAAGATGCTGGTCTCCCAAACGGCTGACCACAGTCGAGTCCTGGACCTGGCAGCTGAAAATCATGCCAGGTGCATGCATGTACTTGAAAATCACGCTGGGCACATGTTTGTGCATGCCCCAAATCCTGAGAAAAGAATGGAGAAAGGATTGTGGTGTGGCCATTACCCTTGGGGAGTGGAGTCATTTCTGATTTTCCCTCTCTCTGTACTGCCTCTCTCACTGACAAGTAAGCACATACACCCTGTGACAAAAAAAAAAAAAAAAAGTAAAAAGTAAAAATAAATCATAAAAAAAATCATTTGGGCAATTTCTGCCCCCACAGGGTTAGTCCCTGAATAGTTAATCTGTGCCTCAGTTGATTGCAAATGTGAATTAATTTTCTCTAAATTACTTTGCATGTAGTTATTAGGATACCAAATGACTTTAAAAAACTGGGTTGCCCAACATTACAACTGAACTTCACTCTATTAGGTATTATTTTAACTATATCAAACCATAATAATATAAACATTGTCAGAAGAAATATGTGTCTATTTCAAAGTAACTCTGGCATCAGACATTTCTACGTTGGCTTTTTCCATTTAACAAAGATAAGGTGTACTTCTTTACTAATTCATGTGGAGGCATTTACTTTCTTAAGAACAAAGCTCCTGAAAAGTTATAAAAAACAAATTTATTAGTTAATTATCATAATTAGAAAATGCTTATAGCTGCCACTGGTGGTAAGAAGTATGGTTTACTGTCTACCCATTTTGTAGCGGTCAGTCAGAATTTATAAACTACAATTCTTACTGTTGATACAGTTAAAAGAATAGGGGCTCAAGATTATGATGAATGCCTCTGAAATTTTATAAAGCTAATGTTCCATTAATTTCTGAATTTTTGAATGAACTTTGAGGTTGAATGCGCTTTTAGAAAATAATTTCCTTTATTCTTTGTTTTTTGCTTATTGTCTATAGTATTAAAAGAGTAATGCACAGGTCAAGGATAAGTCACAAATATACTGATTCTGATATATTCTTAAAAACTGTGAGATTTACTGCATGTATTTGAAATGTTCTGATGTTACCAGAGCATGAGTATTTCCTGTAACTGTGTGTGTACTATGCCATATTATCGGTCTCTAAAATTGGAAAAAAATGGAATGCATCTTTAAAAATTACTATCATATCCTTTGATAAAAAAAATCTTCACTATTCACACTATAGTGTGAATATTGGTTTGGTTAAAAAAAAAAGGCAAGAATAGCGCACTTTAAGAGTCACCATCAACTCATTAGTTTTCACTAAAAACATCAACCGACTATGTAAAATTTGAATTCAGTCTAATCTCTGATATGCCTGTAACGTGTCCTTCTTGTTCTCTATGTGTGGGAGTGATGAAATTCTGAGTGATAAGCCGTCATATATGTGTGTCAGGAGCAATCTGCCAGTTTTGACTGTAATGGACAAGCCAGCCATGGGATGACAGCTGAGTGACTTGGTGTGATGGTGGATGCCTCTCACTGGATTGACTACCTGTTAATCTAGTTTGGCTATTCTCCCTGTAGTGAATTTGTTGGCTGCTGCTTAAAGCTCATATTTCCTATTCTAACATTGACTTGACTTCTAGCATACTAAATGTCCTTTTAGGGGATTACGTATTAATATACTGTTCTGCCAGTATAGATTTGTTTAAAATATATAAAGTAGCTTCTCTTTTAGGATAGTCTAATGATGCCTTTTTCTCTCTTGAAATGCTATGAAATGTCCAGATTCATTAATACTAAGCCTAACTGCAGAGTTAATGAAATAGAAAATCAACTACAGTAGTTAAACTGAGTTGATTTTTTAAAGAGAGTATTTAGAAACTTTGGAACCTTGTTTAGCCTCTGTCTAGCCACTATGGTTAATATGTTAAAGTATTTCTCCCTATTTAAAGGCCATCTCTTACCTTTTATTCAACCTACTCATAACTTTAAGTGTATTGTTTAAAGTTGGTAATAAGTGTTTAGGATTCATTGAAAAAGGATTTGTTGATTTTCTCTTTCTTCTACTCAAAACTTGGACTCCAGCATAGGAGTAAAAAATGACGACAAGATGTTCTAGTATAAATCATCTTGAAACTCAATCCATGGTACAGGCTCCAAGCTAAACAAGGAAAGGGTAAAACTAAGACATTATGCATTTTTTTTGGGGGGGGATAGAGAAAGCTATGACTTAGTTTACCCTTTTCCAGGGTTAACCGTACTAAATGACTCTCCTTTGATAGTCTTTTTGTTTATTTTTGCAGCTACTTACTAAACTATGTGATTTATCTCTTTGCTAGACAAAGACGAATGCTCTAAGGATAATGGCGGATGTCAGCATGAATGTGTCAACACGATGGGAAGCTACATGTGCCAATGTCGTAATGGATTTGTGCTGCATGAAAATAAACATGATTGCAAGGAAGGTATGGAAAGGAATACTTTCTATTTTTCTTTTTTACAATAGAATTAGAATTTAATGTGGTTTGTGTAAAGCATTGCTTCTAGGTAGAGTTAATTGTTTCAGTGAGTGATACCATTGTTCACTATTCAAATGTCAAAAAACCCTTTTGTGTAATGTTCAAATATCCAAGGCATACTGTTGGATCTGCACTTTGCACAGAGATGACATTAAAGCAATTTATACAACAGATGGAGGAGCTGCTATGATACTATCCAGTACTCAGAAAACCACCACTTTACCCACTGGTCTTTATGGAACAGACCTTATAACACTATCCATGTTTAAATTTAACTTCTTTAAATGTTTTACATTTGCTGGAATATCCCCAGAAATATCTAAAATATGTGCTACTTGAGTGATGTCTCTTTAAATGTCAGATATATCAAACTTAAGTGCCTACCGAAAGACAGATATTTGAAAATGGTAGATATTGTGGTATTTAGCTAATTTATGGTTTTGCCCCCTCCAAAAAAAACCCAATAAACAATAACATACTAGTAGCATCACAGTAAGCTACCAGATTTTGTCTCCAGACCTTACAAAATTCAAGATTTTTTTGTCTGTATTTTAGGCAGGGTGTCTTGTAATCTTCCTGTCTCTGCCTCATGAGTGCTGGGACTACAGGTCCTGAGCCTCTTTTATGTGTCCTCAGCCTACCAGATAGCAGCATCAACCAATGTTGCTGGGCTCAAGATTGATTTTTAGTTTTACTGCAGGGCACAAGTGCTTGTCAGAGAGAGACAGAAAGAGAGAAAGTGAGAAATCACTCCCCAGGTGGAATGGCCATGCCACAGTTCCTTCTCCTCCAGTCTCCTCTCTAGATTTTGGACACACATGCATAAGCACCCAGTATGATTTTTAAGCCACTAGATTTGGGACTCAAATCATGGAATAAGCCATGTGGGATCCAGCACCTTAACCTCCATACCATCTGCTGCCCCATTTTTTTTTTTTTGAGAGGTTTTTGTTATAGGGCATGTGTGCTTGCCAGAAAGACAGAGAGAGACAGAGAGATAGAAAGCGAGAAATCACCCCCCAGGGGGGCTGGCCACGCCGCAATCCCTTTTCCTCCATTCACCTCTCGGGATCTTGGGCACGCACGCACACACGCCCGGTGCGAGTGTAAGCCACCGGGTCTGGGACTCGAATCCTGGTCAGTTACATGGGAGTTAGCCATTATGCTAACTACCAGTCCCCAATTTTTTTTTTTTTAAAGATAATGACGTTTATATATTCAACTATTGTGAGCTGGATGGTAACATGAAGTAATTACTTAATTCTTATTTCTTTCTCTAAGGATTTTCTCTCAAATTTTCTATTTAAGTTGAATTTATATCTGTTTTAAAAGAGAATTAGTAAGGCAGATTTTATAAATTCAGTCATTAGCATATGTAAATTGGTAGATTCTTGAGTAGAACCTCAGTTAGTTAGCAACTTTTTATATACACATTAGAATAGTAGAAAATATACTGAATTGACTCCTGTTTCAATTATTTTCATTCAAATATGGCCACATGTCATAGATTTTTTTTGTTTTAGCTTTATTTTTTGTTGATATGATGGCTTTCTGTAGAAATATAGGCAAGCTTGAATTTTTCTTTGTCTAATTTCTTGTATAAGCATGATATTTGTAATTTGGTAACTTATGTTATAAAGCCAATAGGCCCAGTTTTTGGTAGACATGGAAAGTAAATCAAAGAAAAAATTAAATAGTTTTTGTAGATGATACCTGTAGTCTGTGGATCACAGGTAGCTGATACGTTCACTACAGTAGCTAATATTTTCCAAACATGATTTCATAGAAAACTTCCTTTTTAGATAGAATGACATCTAGGCAACCCTTAATAAGGTCCATTTTTTTTTTTTTTGAGAGGATTTTGCTATAAGGTGTGTGCACTTGCCAGAGACAGACAGAGAGACAGAAAGTGAGAAATCACCCCCAGGGGGGATGGCCACACCGCAATCCCTTCTCCTCCATTCTCCTCTCGGGATCTTGAGCACGCACGCACATGCACCCAGCATGAGTTTTTTAAGCCACTGGGTCTGGGATTCGAAGTGCGGTCAACTACATGGGAGTACAGAGATATAGCCATTATGCCAACTGCTGTTCCCAATAAGGTCCATTTTTATTGTCAAAAAAGAGGTGGTATTTTCTTTTACTTTTGCTACCATATGTGCACTTCCTACAGTTCAGCACCCTACCTACTTCATACAGTTCAGTTCATCTTTGTTTCAACTCAGGCTGTTTGACAGATTCTGGATACCCTGTATTTCATATGGCAAGATAAAGACAGAGATAATGCATTCAGATAACCCTTGTCATGACTAAATCCAGATTTTTAAGGCTATCACCTTACTACATTATCCTGGATGATTTGACAGCTAAATTTTTACCTTTCTCTTTTTTTTTTTCTTTTTTGAGAGTTTTTTTTCCACTATAGAGCA